ATGTGTGTGTGTCTATATATATATATATATATAAATTTTATTTCATCACCCTATTTTTGGAACTTTTTTTTTTCTTTTATCACTTTTTTTTTTCAATATTTCAACTTTCAATAAATAAAAAGAAAATAATAATAACTTTATTTCTATTAATATTATAGTTTGTAACTTTTAAAGAAATTCATTGGAGTACGCGGGATCTCTTAGGCAACTAGTGGAACACATGACTTTTGATGAAGACCCTGTAACGATTTATTCCCATCCATCCAATCTTTTATAATTAGGTGGATAAATGTAAACATCTCCGGGGGGAATACTCACCGAGTTTCAAAGGCTACAAATTGGCTCCACTCCCGAACTGTTACTTATTCAATATATATAACTAGACTCAACGTAAATAAACTTGGAACTTGACTCACTCTATTTTAACAGAAAGGACCCACGAAATAAATCATCGATCGATAGGCTTTTTATGGGTCTAGATATTCACAATGCAAGACACATTATGTCCTTCAAACAACTTTTTGGGCTCCCATTAAATCACATTTTTATAACAAATTCTAGAGAAGAATAGGGTCAAGTATTTATGGCTCTTTTGTGTTTTCCATAAGCTTTTTATGGGTCTATAATTTGAAAGCCACAAATATATTATAACAAACTGGATTAACTAAATTTTAGAGTTCTCATCAAATCATCTCATACAACACTAGCAAACTAGTCTTAATGCAATAATATCAAAATTTTAAATTTTCTAGATTTTTAATATTAGACCATGTTTTTCAAGTCTATATATTTCAATTTTTTAAATCTAGAATTTTTTTTTCAATCTAGCATGGTATTTTCCTTTTTTCAATTCCCTACCTATACTTATTTGATACAGTGCCCTCATTGTATACATAAAACAATTAAAGCACATAAAAGCTAAAGGGGGAGAAAAGGGAACGAACTTACCTTAGGAATGTAGTCGTGAGATTGGATTAACCATGGTGGGTTGCTTCTTAATACAAGGCTTGAATTCGTCTGTTGGAACACTTCTGGAACGATTCATCCTTGCTGAAATTAGTGGAGTCTTGGAAAATAAATATGAGGCCAACAACTAATCTTCATAGCCTGAAAATATGACTGGGAGTTGCCACGTCATGGTAAGTGGTGGACTACGACGTGGTCTCTGGAACAAACTAGAGAGTATTCACATAAAAAGCTTCTTCGCAACACACAATGAGAATTTGTGCGAAGCGGTCTTATGAGATTAAGCTTGTGGTGTAAAATATTGTTGAAATAGGATATAGAATTGACATGCTCTCAAAAAACAGGAAAATAAGTTTCGATGGAAGGGTAAGCCATGTTGTAGGTTATCTAGGCTCGTGACACGGTCTCGTGGAAATTTGAATTCTCTACCGCTCAATGAATCCACCAATCTTGAAGAAGCTAATTTCTCAAATGGTCACTCGTCTTAGTTTCTTCCCATATGTAGTATTGGTAGCACAATAGACTCCTTGTTTTTTGCTCCATGTTGCATGTGTACCCCCACGCTTATTTTTGTCATCATTAATTTCTTAGCTGAAAATTTCTTGCATCACAAATAAGAATCATAAAAAGAACTTTTATTCAAAAATAAAAATAAATGATAAAAATGAAAAGAAAAGGTAGATTAATTTAAAAAGTTGCGTTGCCTCCTAATAAGCTCTTCTTTTTGTGTGAGTATTAAGTTGGACTCCCAACTTAATAAATTATTAATTTTCTCATCATATTGAATTCGTCTCATTTAACACTCTTTTTGGACCAATTCGTAAATTTTGATTCCTCGTTTTGATAATCGACCAGTTGAGTATGAATTTATTAACTCCTAGAATTTTGACAAGGGTCGAAACCGGTTGGATAATAATCATAAATGTATCACACAAAAGAATTTTCTCCAAAGAAGGAATTGTCACCCTATGCTTTGACACACAAATCGTAAAATCGGGGGATCGTGGGACGGTAATGATCAAATCGTGTTGTAGTTCATACTTTTCAACTTGTTCTTGTTCTTCACATGAGCCTTATGTTAGTAACCTTTCCAACTCCTCCAAACCTTTTTTTGGACCAAAACCCTCATCTTCTCGCTCTAGTTCCTATACCACTTCCTCAAGAAATGCATCAAAAGCTTCAAGACTTGGAAAATATATAATATAAAAATAAACGATAATAAAAAAAATTAAAATTAAGCTATAAAAAAACTTAACCAACAAATAAAATATATGAACTAAACACAACCGTTCCTCGATAACGATGTCAAAAACTTAATGTGTTTATTTTCACTACTTGTTTCAAATTTTATAAAACCTAACTAATTTAACCAGCTAAAACACAAATACGAAGTGTACCTAGTCACGTAGTAGTGTAGTAAAAGTCAGTTGGGTGTCAAACTCAAGGAATGAAAAATTTTAATAAGAAAATAACTACTACTAATTAAACTAAAGAAAATAACTTTGAATTGGGGTTTTTATCTGATTTTTATTATTTAGTAAAACTTAAACATCAACTAACTTTTAAGTAAAATTACTTAAACTAAAGCTAACAAGACAAACAATTTTAATTCAAGATTAAAGAGTACCTTTGTTTAGCATCGAATCACTTTACCCTATGGTTTATTTCTAATAAAATGGATTATTTAGTTGGTTACCAAATTATAAAGTTACTAGTTATCTTGTTTCGAGTTCCTAATGTTTAATTAATTCATGAACTACCATTACAATGGTCATGCAACAACTTGGACACTAAATTGATTTTAAGGTTATTTGGACTATGAATGACAAGATCTAGTGATTTACTTTTCTATGATCAAGATAAGTAATTCAAGCACATAATATGAATAATTAATTTTCTCTAACATAATCAAAATTACTAACTGTTATGGGTAGAATTTTTTTAACTTACTATTCTTATATCTTGAATTAGAACTAACATCACGGGCAATCCTAAGAATTTTTTAACTTACTATTCTTATATTTTTTAACTTATTATTTGATTGACACCAGAATCAAATATGTTATTTTTTTTCCAAGTGGTATCAGATCAAGAATACCATGAGATGGGAAGATAGCGACTATGCATCTTCTCTGGGAACTCCTTCAACGGTAGTTCAATACGGCCGTATTATATTCTTTACTTCTTTGTGTACATCTACGCAATTATCTTTGGCCTCAACGTTAATATTATGCAACATTTTTATATGAACTGCAGCTCCTGATCTTGGTTCTCATAATGTATTGGATGTTTGGAAGATAGATTACATAAACCATAGCTTTTCATCACAACCTTTCAAGATTCGATATGCAAGACATTATATTCTTCTATCATTCATGATAGCTTTCAACTCATCTCAGGGTAAATTTGAGGTCTCTCTCTCCCTCCCTCCCTCTCTGTGGTTAAATTAGTAAATGTAGGAGAGAAGTTCTATATTCTTTATGTTATCTTGCCAATGATGATCACCTACAATCTTCAGGATCGAATCACATCTGCTATAATTCTAAAATTTGAGCTGATGTATACACTTGTTTTGGAGATTGGGTTAGCATAAAATACATTACCTCTTTATTAATGTTATAGTGATTCTAATATTTTACTGGATATAGTGTTTTTAATGCTCCATCTTTAGCTCCAATATGCAGGACTTTTGGTAGTAACCCCAGCTGCAGTTCATGAGTTCAGAATTTCACCTAAATCTCTTCTTGGACTATATTCATATTGCCTTATTCATTTTGATGCTTTCCATGTTGTGCTTATTGATACCATTTTCTACATCAGCTTACTAAAAGGTGGTGGTCATACCATGAATACACCAAGGTGGTGTTCATTGCATGTTAATTTTAGTGCGCAAAATCAAATTTTTTTAAATGTATTCTCTTTGTAGTTGCAACAATTCTCTTAGTCGTGAAGAAGCTTCCAGTGACAAGTAGTATGACAACAATTCTCTCATTCTTTTATCCAAAACATCATCCTCTTGCCTTGGTGTCTGTAAGAAATTAGAGGCATTGCATTTGAGGTGCTTGGTTCTCGTAAGCTTTGAAGATTCAAGTTTTTAATACTACAATCAAGAGGTAACATTCTTACTTGGTTATATATATATATATATATATATATATATATATATATATATATATATATATATATCAAGTTTTGTAGTATGCTAGATTAGGGTATTCAAGTATTGGATGAATTGTATGTACAATAGAGAAACCTAGATCCAAGCTTTAGGGTTTTGCATGAGCACATAAGATTGTTCTTTTGTATAAAACCCATTATATTGATATACCGATAAATTATAATCATGCTACCAAAACAGGTTTTGCTTGTGAAGGCATTTTTAATTTCATGTGCAAATTTGCTTCAAGAGCTAAGAAACCACATAAACAAGAGAAATGGTACAAATGCATAAGGTAATCTAATGGACATGTTTATTTAAGGTATGACTTTTACAGATCTGTCAAAGTTCTTTCAGAGAACCTACGCTATGTCTATGTCAAAGCTCTAATGTTTTTTATGTGATACAGTCTTATTGATAAACAATAACTTGTTGTTGATTCTCTAGTTATGTTTAATAACTTGCTTCACTTCTAAAAAATTATCCTAGAACTTTCTTTTACTGCTTTTCTCCATGAAATTTAGTTATCTTTGCAACTTGTATTTCTTTCCCTTGCAAGTGCATGACAAAAGGCTTTAATAATGTTGAGTTTTTGTTTTCACCAATTAAGTTTTCTAATAATTTTGGTTGAAGAAATATTAATGTACTTTCATATGTTTGTGCTTAGTTTGATGTTTATCATTGGAATCCATATGCAATTGTGTCATTTGTTAAACTAACAAATACTAACAAAATGGTTAGACCTTATATTCGTTTCATTATTTTCTTATTTTACTTATGTAAAGTTACCTAAATTGTTAGTTGTTGATGCATTAAAAAGATTCAAAGAATTATATATCAAATAGGATCATGAGGATGATAATTAAAGGCTGCACAAATGTTGGCAAATGTTGACTTTGGGTTTACTGTGAGTACATGTGCTGCTCCTGATGGAATCGAAGCCATTGTGGGAGAGCAAAATGGTAAATTGCACATGTATTTAGTGGAGGGAGATATTCTTGTAAATGAGTTGTTCTTGAAACAACTTTTGATTCTAAAATAAGATTTCCAACGGATTTTACATGGATCGGTTTTACCTAACTTCAAATAAGTAAAATCACAAAAATGGAAATTTTTACTTAAATGGTTAGAATGACCAAAATGGTCAAAATACTTTCTTTTTACCTATTATTCCATGGTTGACTTTCCCAAAAAATAATTTTATTCTGTTTAGCTGTTGGATATGAGTAACATTACTAAAATGGTCATTTTGACCGAAATGGTAAAATTAGATTTAAATGGTTACAATTACCAAATTGGTTAAAATGCTTCTTTTAACATGGTTGGACTAACTAAAATATTATTTTTATTTTGTTTAACTAGGTTTATATGGGAAAATGACTAATATGGTTATTTTGACCAAAACGACCAAATTGTTCATGACCAAAATTAAAGTATCTGATAAAAATGATTTCATTTTTACATATTATTATGTCATGGTTTAATTGACCAAAAAAATATTAATTTAATGTATTTTTTTGGATTTATGGGTAAAATAAAAATTTTGATGGATTGATTCAAAAGGGAGGGTCTCCACTATACAATATAACAAGTAAACTTATAAAAATATAGTAGGTGCCAATTGAGACAAAAAGACACCAAGTAAACAGTCTCCACTAGATTACTCAGCTATCAGTCGACTCAAATCAAACATTAATAAAGTTGCGAAAGGTGAGTAACAATATGATTTGATTTGTAGACAATTAGAATCCTTATTAGGGCATTTTTTGTTCGTTTTGAATTCCTGTAATAGGATACAATCGAGGCATTTTTGGAATTCCATGTGAGAAAAAATCAGAAATTGAAGATATGGTGAAGGTGCTTGAGTCTTTGAATCCAAATCCACGCCCAACTCTCGATCTTGATAAGGCTAGGTCATTCAACTTCAATCCCACCATAGTTTTTTTGTTGTTTTTTTTAAAATATCAAATGTGTGCAAAATTGGTAGTTGGGTGGATGCTGGAAGCTAATATACAGTACAATAACAATCCTGGGATCAAGAAGAACGAAATTGAGATTAGAGATTTTATCAGTTTGGGAGATTTCTTGCAAATATTTCCATGGTTTGTTGGTTTTTACCATTTATAGTAACATTTACATAAAAAGTAGTTTCCATTCATACAATGGAATGCAATGGCTAATTCCATTCCATGCAGAGACATCTTAACTTTGGATGAATCCAAGGGACATTCCAAGTCTACAATCGGCATCATACTACAACATGGCAACACAAATGCCAAATGGCACGTATCTACCTTCTCACACTGCACACGCTTCATTAAATGTAGTGGGACAATCTTGTCATATGCAATTCCCAAGGTTATACCACTCGCAACAACCGGGTACTATTGCCAACCCCCACCATATGGTAATTTGACTTTATCAAAAGTAATTGAGGATTTGTTTCTTATTCTTCGTTATTATTATTATTATTTTGTGTATCTTACTTTTTAATTGATGTTAGGTTGTTATTTGTTTCATGGAAATTGCCAATGATGTTTATCATGAACTTGAAAAGGTAACATGATTGAATGATTACACAATCATTAGATGTTCATGCACCCCATTGATTGTGACGCTCTTGATGTCTTGGATGTTGGTTATAGGCAATGTTTTCATACGGGTTTGAGATTGTTCAAACATTAATGTCGATATAGAATCATATGAACGTGTGAAGAAAGCAATGAATGGATCAAAATAGGTAAAGTTTTCATCATTAATTATGTGAAATTTTTTAGATCAATTAATTTATTGTTTAATTTGTATGCCTATATATAGTTGCATGGATGAGGTTGGCAGCTATTGAGAAAGGTGAGGCAGAGAAGATACTTCAAATAAAGAGGGCTAAATGAGAAACTGAGTCAAAGTATTTGTTTGGATTATGTGTTGCACAACAGAGACAAGCAATTGTGGATGGTTTAAGAGACAGTGTGTTAGGGTATTCAGTTAATGTTCCTGGGACAATAGCTAAAGATGTGATGGATATGGTTTTAGTGACTTGGTATTTTGACACCATGAAAGAAATCGGTGCTGCATCCAAATCATCTATAGTGTTCATCCTTCATGTTATGGCATTTTAGTATCAAAATCTTCCAATTAACGTAATTGCAGTTTCAAACTTTTCTTATTTGGGCATATTATAGTTTGAAATTTTTTATCCAGATTTAGAATTAACATGGTTTTGGTTAATGTGAAAGAATAGCAATGTCCTTTTCTATTTGTCCTAACTACTTCACTAAATTAAAAATACTATAATCAAAATCCAACCCCCGCAAAGCGTGATCCATCTCTAGTTGTTTACCTATATTTAAAAAAATACTATAATCAAAATCCAACCCCCGCAAAGTGTGATCCATCTCTAGTTGTTTACCTATATTTAAAGTGTTGTATTGTACAATTCTACAATACATAAATTGTTATGTATGACAAAAAATTATTGTGTGCAAATGATTTCCTTATAATAATATCTTACTTTAGATTTAGTACTATATGTTTCAACATTTAGTACTATATGTTTCAACAGTAATACTTTATTTGCTGATTATATTTCTCTTATTTTTCAATAAAAGTGGCAGAACAATTTGATATCAAGTTATTTGGGATAATATAAGCAATAAACAAATAAATACATATTCTTAAATAATAAGGTAATCGTTAATAAATAGTAATTAAATATTAACTTTATTTTCCTAAAGTAACATAATTCAGAATTAAAAATTTTGGTTTTTCGGGGTTAACCATCCATGACAACTCAAAAAAAAAAAAAAAAAAATAAATAAATAAATAAAAATAAATGTAACCAAACCAAAAATCTAAGTCTTTAGGTGTTTAGTTAACCAAAAAGAAAAATAAAATAAAATAAAAGAATCGGCTCTGTTAACAGAAAAATTAGTATATTCAGTCAGTTTTAGATATTTTGAACACACCTAAAAAAATATATGTACCAATATAATATAAGTAAGTGTTGATAACATTCTTATCTTTGTGTTGGTTAACATAGAACTCGTAATTCTATGTACGTTACAGTACATTCGAATAATCTAACATACATAAAATATGGTCCACCCTTGGTAGATCATCATGCTACTCAACACATTAACGGCATCCTATAGGTAGATCATTATTCTACTCAACCCATTTATGGCATCCTAATCTTAACTATTTTAATTTACGGATCTGCTACTTTTTATACTTGATTAGTCGATATAGATTTCATATTTTTTGCAAACCATACCTACTACTTCAATTTTAAGCATCTTTCTAATTTTTTTTTCTAAAAAAATCGATTTTACTGACTTAATATTGGATGTCGACGACACGTTATTGCATCAAGAAGCTGGATGTTACTTTATAAGATTGGATGTTATTCTCTCTTTTATTAAAAGTAACCAGACAAAAATATCAATTTTCATAAATTTTAAAATACAGAACTAGGCCTATTATTGGATCAAAAGTTTGGATCTTAGAGCAGGACTACCTATTTTATTTAGAGTTATTACTGTACATTTTTTTTTACCTATTTTATTTAGAGTTATTACTATACATTTTTTTTTTTAATTCATTACTTAATACCATTGGAACATATAGTTTTTTTTTGTTTTTTTTTTTATTTTGACCACTCAATAACTCAATATATATTGAGTCACTCAAATATATTTTCATAAGTTCTATATTTATCCCTTTCTATTTTAATGCTATTTTATTTTATCCTTTTTAACGATAAAATAGTATTTTTAATGTTTTTATTTTATTGTTGTTTAACATTTTTTTGCAATTTTACATATATAAATAAAGAATTGATATAATTATATTTATACGTTTGTATAAAAAGACAATTTGTGTTTAAAAAATGACTAACTAAATGAGAGTTTTTTTTTTTTCAAATATTTTGGATAAAGATATATTAGTTACTTTTAAAATAAAAATAAAAAAACTATGTAAAAAAACTTGATCATTGAAGTTGTCATTTCTTTTAATATAACGCATGAATTCACATTTATTTTAAGTCATAAGATTGGGAGATGCTCTTAAAGATGTTTACATATATATTATGCAGCTCACTTCAGCTAAAAGAGTTAGCTTCAAGATGTACTGTTTAAACAGTTATTTTTTTCATCAATATAAATTGCTTACAGAAACTAAACATGCATGGTTGAGTGTCACACCAACTACAACTACATATTTTTATGAATCGGCCAAAACATATTGTCGCACAATACATTAGCTTTTTTATGATATGACAAAAAGCCTACACAATGTTAAAACTCCATTATGTAAACCGCTTCCACTGTCAAACTAAGCATCCTCAACTTATCAGAAAACATTTTAATTCAATAACAAATAAATATTCAACCTTATCATAACGGAAATTAAATTGTTTAAAAAACAGCTCTATATTATTCTATATTCAAATATTTCATGTTTGGAACTATGAAATCATGAATCATACCTTCTTTCGTTTTCCACCAGATTTTTGGGCGCGTTTAAGTTGATTTGTCAAATGACTTACCCCTTTCCTATGCATGTTCATCTCTTTCTTACTGGAAGCTCCAGTTTTACACATTCTACACCAAAACTTGAACTTTTTTCCCGAGGCTTCTTCTTCAGGCTTCTTATCTTCAGATGAAACCATTTGAACACTTTCCGGTGACTTCTTGATGGATTTTCCGGTGTGTTCAGCTTTCAGCTCCGCCATTTTGGCCTGGTGTTTCTTTCCAGCCAGATGTTCCTCTAAACCACGCTCAGATGTTGCACTCACTTCACAAATTGCACAGCTCCATTCATTCGCTCTCTTCTTTGAATTACTTGAACAACCGGCGGCAGCTGGGGATGGTGGTGGTGGTGATTTCCGTTTGGATCCAGCCATCATCTGACCGGAGGGAGGTTTTCTCTGTGATATGAAACTAGAGATGTTACGTTCCTTAAAAATGAGTAATTGGTAGATTCATTATTTAGATATTGAAACATGTTGTAAACAAGATCCATTACGAGAGTTAAATGCTTACTGTATCAGTCGATAACCCAAGATTAATTAAAATTCAAAATATAATATAAACAAGACACAAGGGATTCAGTCACTCGGACCTCAGAAGCACTTCTAGGTTATCTAAAAATGTTTAAAGAGTTAAACCCATTTGAGACTACAACAAGAGGTCTTTCAACCTGATAACCTATCTACAAGTAGGTTAAGAAACAGCAAAACTGCAAAAGGACTATGAATAGTCTATGGAAGAAAAGTAATCTATTAAAGAAATTATAAACAATTACTGAAAAAAGGGTTTAAAGACTGGAAATTGAAACACAGTAGAGATACATCAATGATGAACACAGAGAGATTAGAAAGATCACTCACCATATGAATAAATTGCTTCTCACCAGCTTTTGCTGGAGAAGTGATAATCTCGTTAATATTAGGACGCCGCTGGAACTGATGTCCGGTGACACCGTAGTCCTCCTGGAACGGCATTGTAATTCTTCCAGCCACCGGTTCATATGCTCGACCATGCAGCAATTGTGGCTGAAGCCGATGGAGGAGATGGTGGTGGCTATCGGTATGCCCTAACATGAGCGACGATAGCGACGGATATCCGCCACCATTCTCCATTCTCCTGATTTCTTGTTCTATCATGTATTGTCTCCTTTCTTTCGCCAGTATCTCCTCCCGAATCTTGTTCTTTTCAATTTGACGGAGAATGTCATATCGACCCGGTCCTCCGACGCTGTATAACCCCCCTGGAAAACTCAGACATATCATAATTTATGTAAAAGAATAGCATTACACACCATGCAAAACCCACAACAGTCGCTGAAGAAGTAAAAAAACACCAAATCGAGTTATATCCTTCGATTCGTAGAACTTAATGATAGTTAACAACAACATCATGATAAACGAACGAACGCGTACCTTCTAGAATCTGATTTGAGAAGTTTGTGTAGACCGAAGGATATGATGATGATGAAGAAGGCGTAGGATAAAGATGATTGTGGATCTGTGAATTAAATCCACTGTATCTAGACTCCATAATGGAAGAGGCGTTGAAACAAAAAACTAGGGTTTTAGTTTGGTGAAAGGGATTTTTCAATCGGTTTTCCGGCGGTGATTTGATAAGACGAAGATATTTTCCAAAGTTAAACAGTGCTGATGTCGCGGGACTGGTTTTATCAGGTGCGGTCAAGACTATTAAATTATTATGGGCCCCATGCGTCATAGGTAAACAAGACGTGTACGTTTGCCATTAGTTGATAGGGTCCAGAATATCACGAGTCATCTTTAAGCCTATAAACTTACCTCCAAAGTTAAAAATATGGATTCCATTAAATGCAACATTCCAATTCGATAAAGATATATATATATCTGCCACTCTAATTATAGAAAAGTTGGAAAGTAAAAATACGTGAAGAATCTAATTTATTTGATTACGAAATATACGGTCAATCTCGAAAAGCATACATTTTCGTTGTGTCTTGTAAATCGTGTGAGCATGTCTTTAAAGTCCATTTTATTCTCTTGCACCGGCTCCTCCTTTTGATAGAAACCTCTCGTATTTTTCCTATATTTCTCCTCATTTGCCTTCTTGTACTCATCGTATGGTAGCCACTCTTTTTTCGGTTTCCTCCAATCATCATGAAATCTGTTGCCACTCGAATAACAAACTTGTGATTTTCGGTTCCCATTCTCGTTCAAGGTCACAATCTTTAACAAGGTGAGGCCTGCCACATCTATCACATCCTACCCAGATGGAATGGATGGATTGATCCATCTTTGTCATCCTTCGGTCCATGCTCTCCAATTTAGCCATCATTGTTGCCATATAATCGGAAACTGAGTTCACCGCCCCTCGAGTTGAGTCGTTCCTTGGGTTATGATATTCTCTAGAGTGCTTAGAAAATTCTTCAATTAGTTCCTCTATAACTGCGGGTGCTTTCTTCGTGAGTGGTCCTTAGGAGTCAAGGAGTTGCCAAGTTGTCACGTTAACTTCATCATAAAAAAATGGAGACTTCTTGCTGAATGTTTAGGTCATTGTGGGGGCAGTTCCTCAAGAAGCCCTTGTATCTTTCCCACGCCACATAAAGTAACTCG